AGGGTGTCATCATCATCATTAGCATCAGCATCATCCTCCAAAATGGGAGATGCTGAGGCTGGCCGTTTACGGCTTGGGGCACTTTCAGCTGCAGTGGGCTTGGCAGGAAGAGAAGTCGATGGACGAACAGACTATTTAGCACGAGCAGGGGAAGAGGGACTCCTAATGGACACAGGAGTGACCAAAATAGGAGAGGTGGAAGAAATGTTTGGCTGGTCCAGTGAATGGAAAGCACGATTGGCATAAGTCGCAAACAATCTGCACTTCACTGACGGCCAGAGTTGTTCAAAAAGGGGATGGATGGCACGACTAGGATTGAAAGGAGCTAATGAAAAGTTGCTCGTCAAGAGAATATTGCGAGCATCCATAGCTTCTGCCTCTGCCTTATTAATGGTGTGGAAGCGGTCTATTAAATTTCTTGAATAGCAAGGGGGAGCGGGCCAAGTTTGGCCAAAGCCAAGTTGGTGAGCAAAAAATTGGGGAGCGTATATTTCAACCCCAACTTTGGCATTGGTTCCAGTCAAAATATCATGGAACAACTCCCTCCCGGTCAAAAACTGAATCCAAATGAACAGAGAGGTGTTCGCACTATCCAGAGTGGATGGAGGTTGTACATAATCTGGAGTCAAAAAGGGAGGAAAAGGAAAGAAAGAAGAGATTGAATCCAAAGTATAAAAGAATGAAAAAATGTTACTTCTAGACATATTTACAGGAGTCAGGGGATCAATGGCTAGCCCATAGCAGCTAGCAGAAGGACTGGAAAAGGATGGAGCACCAAGCAATGGAAAATAGGCTCTCAACCACATTTGAGTGAACCAAAGAGGCCCACTGCTAGTGGGAGATGCACCATTCTTCAATTGGAATTGAAAAGAAGCCATGCCTTTATAGAGGGTAGCTAAAAAGAAAGAACACAAATTTAGAGGCCTACCACACTTCAATTCGTGCGCTATGGGTAAATAGCTCATGGAGGGCTTCATGCTTGGCACACACAAAATGTATTTACAAAGCCAAATCTGAAGAAAGGTCACAAGCTCAGCATGGGAAGGCTCGGTGCTCGAGTGGTTATGACAGGTTTGAGGCTTGAATAAGACTTAGTGAGTTTTTTATCAAATTTTGGGGCGACACCAGAAATCAAAATACCAGGGAAAATGGTATCGCCCAAAGGTGGCAGATTTACTAGGGCCCCAACATCCCTTAAGGTAATGGATATGGAACCAAGAGGGAAAACAAAAGTGTTATATTTAGAAGACCAAAAACTTAAAGCGATTGGAAAAAGTGCTGGGTCAAAAATAGGGGGTTGAAGAGAGATTTCTAACAAATCAGAAATCTTAGCACTATCAAAAATTGCCTTAGTAGGACCATGGTCCACAAGGCGAGCATGCCATCTACGGAAAACGACATCAGATTTAGGCTAAGTGCGAATACCTCTTTCGCGAAGCGGCCTCAGCGGCAAAGAGTTTAGAAATGGAGGGCCCTGAGTACAAGAGAACAGCTGACCGACCGCCGCTTGTTCGATGGCTTTGGCGTTGTTAAATGAAGGGCCTAGATAGAACTCAATGAGTTCGACATTGGCTGGTGCAAGGAAGTTCGGAGTTTCTGGAAGTCTTCAAAACTGAAGGAGTCACCAGATTGGGATTGTAAAGCAGCCATTAGGAACGAAATAGAGTTTGTCGAAATTTGCTTAAGAAACGTAGCAGAGAAGTAAGAAGATGAACAGTAATATTGCGAGAGAGAAGTGCGAAACAATGAGGCGTGATTTAGTGGTGCGATAAAATGACGTGTATTTGGGGGTTATAAGGGTTTGCAAACGTCGAACCTTTTCAGGCTATGAAAGAAAACAATGATTGAAATTCTTGAAAATTTCGAATGTTGCTAGGAAACACAGTGAATATGGCAAAAATTAATAATTGGTATTAATTCTGCTATATTGGGGGGTAATTGTTGACACAAAAAAAGTTCAGCCCAAATCGAATAGCCCAAGGACTGAAGCCCAATTGGAGGATCCCCAAATCAGATAGCCCAAAGAACGCCCCAATCAGGCAATTCAGGATAAAGGCCCAAATAGGGAAGCCCATGAACGCGGTAATACCATCGTCCAAGCTTGCAAGTCGCCCAAGATTTGAGCGAATGGATTGCCATGCAGTCGCCCAGAACTGTGACCCTGTTCTCGCCTAAACCTTCGAGTCGCCAGGGATCTTAGCAAACATAAGATGTTATGATTACCCAAAAGTGCGGTTTATGAAGCAGTTATTGAGTAGCCCTATTACATTCCACAATTCAAGGAATTCAATTGAAGACGGTTGAACGACAAAAAGTAATAGCAGCAGTTAAAGAAGGCAGTTTCATGACAAGTTAGCCACTGTGAAGAAAGTGGGCAGTTATAGAGCGATCAAGCAATTTTTAAGCGGTTGATCACGAAGAGATCATCCAGGGAGTATAAAAGGAAGAAAAGACATAGAACAAAGGACCCCAAATCAAACACTCTCAAACAGAGAATATGTAACTTTCAATTTTTTAGTTTAGATTTAAACACTTCTTTTCAGTAACTCGTGTGCTTGCGCCTCTTGGAGGCATTCTGTTTTATTTTTCCAATTGTAAAGTCATCGCCAATAAAAACACCTCTTTTTGGGACTTTGTCTCAAGAGGTTTGTCCCTTACACAATCGTCTGATCCCTTTTTAATTGTTAATGACTAACCCGCGTGAAACACTATCTTATAGGAAAAAATGGAACAACACGACACAGGGAAAAATGGAGTAACTCACCATGTTATCATCCGAACAATTATAATCCATGTAACTCAATGGAATATTATTATTACGAAATGCAATAGTACAATGTGGTTTGGTCGATCGTGAAATTACAAACAATTTAATTTAATATAACCTCGTTACATTCCATGTAACATAAGTAAGGGCATTTTAGTTTTATATCAGAACTTTGGCCTTTGTAAAGGCTAATTAGATGGAAGCCATCCAAGAGGCCAATTGCGCCCATTAAGAAGAGTTAGAGACGTTTGTGCCAGAATTCGAAGGTTGGTGACCATTTGCGCAGCAACCTCATAGGTTATGGGCCTTTTGCGCCAATTCCCTCAATAATTTGCCTGTTGCTTGAAGCAGTGGATCCTTAAATGCTTGATGGGAGTGTCTAATGCGATTACATTTTGTGAAGTTCATTAACTAATGGAGAAACACTGTAAGTTCAGTGACTCCATGGGAAATTTATGCAAATTTAGTGATCAATAAGGGAATTAACCCCTTGACAGTAACTAGTTCCTAGGGGTGGGCGCGGGTCGGTTCAATTCGGTTCGGTTTGGTTCTAAAGAGAACCGAACCGAACCAAAATTTTCGGGTATCTAGTAAATGGAACCGTCGAGTCCAAATATAATTATGGAACCGTTTGGGTTCGGTTCTGTACTATAATTAAGTTTTTTAATATTTATAACAACATTATATAAATATAACTAATGATACATTCAATGGGTTTGGAATGTCAGAAACTAGTAGACTATCTTATTCAAATGATCACCACGATCAAAGCTTCGGTCGGCGGAGGTCACAGCGTCGACTGACAATTGTATAGGTTTTGAAATGTTAGCGAAGCTGTGAGAGTGAATGCGAGAGTCGAAACAATGTTATGCATATTAGTGTAGGTGTTTAGGGTTATTTAGTGGATTAGATCTTGTTGGGCTAAGAAATGAAACAATAAAATGGATAATTGGGTCAAAAATTAAAAAATTAAAAATGAAACAAATTATTGGGCCAAAAATTTGGATTTAGAAATTGTTAATTTGTTAATTTGTGTAGAAAAAATTAAAATTAAAATAATTTGATTTACTCAATATAAAAAAAAATTAGAAAGATTTGGTTCTTATTCGGTTCTTCAGTTCTTGGTCTAGAACCGAGAACCGAACCGTACCCGTCGGTTCTCAATTCAGATACCCGTTCGAGTATTTAATTTGACAATAACCGTAGGGTTCAGTTCGGGAGATTTGCCCAACCCTACTAGTTCCTTTGGTTATTGAACGCATTTTAAAACTTCTTCAGTCATTAATTGTGCGAAAGGAACAACATGACGAGTTCATCGCTTTGGATGGCAAAGAACATTGGTGTTAATTTCTTATGTTGCTGCCATAATGCTCGTGTAAGGTAATGAGGAAAGCTCTTGCACTCTATATTCTACACCGTTCTATCGATGACCTATGAGTAATGTCTCATTCATTATCACATGAATAAATATTAGACTTTAAACTATAAACAGTAAAAAAGAGCAATATTTGAAGATTTCTTACATGAAACTCTAGAGATCCCACATTTCAGTATCTCATGTCTACGAAGAAGTTAATTAAAAAAGTTTATACATACATTTGTCTTCTTACTCGTCTTAACAAAAATAAATGGGGCCTTCACAAATTGATGACAATGTTCGTTGTAATTTTTAGTTGGATGGATCGATCCATATAACTCTTAACTTTTCAATTTAACAGGTTTATATTCAAGAATAATATTATTTATCATTATCATGATAAATTATCGGTGATGTGATACTCTATGTGAAATAATGAGATGAACAATTCATTTTTTATGAAAAAGAGGAAGAAAATGTGGCTAAAAAAAAAAAAAAGAGAGAGAGAGAGAGAAAGAAATGTGAAGGACAATAAGTGATCATATCATTAATGGTTTATCTCATAAATATCATTACCCATATTCAAATGCTACACTATACCATATCATATTTTCAAGAATTAAACGAAATGATCTTATTGTTTGACACATCTCTCACAATCGAGGGGTGGGTCTCGGGTGAATAAAATAATGTCGACCTCCTCATGTGAGTGAATGTATCAACCGATGTGTCAAGATTTGTGATCATGTAGCATGACCCTATTTTCATCGGTCGAATCTCAAAAAGGAAAGAAAAAGAAAAACCTAGTAAAGGTAGTTTCCTAATTGCCTTGCCCGTACATGCCCGCGTGTTTGTTTGTATAAATGCATAAATACACGTATATATATATACACGCAGCGATAATCTATGTATACTCACCTCATCTGTTTTCAGTTCGAAATTCCGAAAAGTTTTAATCCCATCTCCCTCTTTCCCTCCAATCTCCATCCGTTCATTCTGCAAATAGAACAAAAAAGTATTCTTGCAATCTCACTAGCAAATCACTTTTGCAAGAACTCAATCGGTACCAGTTCACATAATTAAATACAAATACGTATACACATGAAACGGGGTTATCAGCAATCTTCCCCGTCAGGTTCTCATGGACCCCCTCAATCCAAACCCAGATATAACCCTGAAGGTATTTTTCGCTGTCTTTATATTTTCTGAAGAAATTAGATATCAAATTTTTCGTTTTGCTCCTTAATTTAGGCTAAATGGAATCAAAAGGCTGGAACTAATTTAAGAAAAGTTTGGATTGCTGAGAGTAAAATTAAATGTAGAAAAAATGAAAGCTTCTTTTTATTTTGTTTTTAGTTATAGAATTGGAGATTAAACCTTGGGCTCAGATAATAGGAATTCTATGGTTTGAATTGTTAAAGTCTCCCCATTCTTCATACTGTGGGCGGGGCCAGAGGTTGAAGTTTGTTTGTTGTGAATTTATGAGTGCATTTTGTTGTTGTCAGGGGATGAACAATTTTTGGAGGATGAGAGCACTAAGATATTTGCACAGAAGGTGGCTGATCATTACAGCGCAAGGACCAATCAGACATTGGAAGAGCGGGAAGCAAGCCCGATTATTCATCTGAAAAAACTCAACAACTGGGTACTTAATCAGATATGATTACCTTATTGATCTTATGACCAAAATAGTTAATGATAATGCTGTTAAATTGCTCATAAGAAGTTGTTTTTTAATGCTTGTCCTGATCATCAGATAAAGAGTGTTTTAATTCAGTTATATGCTAAACAAGGAGACGCGGTTCTTGATCTCGCTTGTGGGAAGGTAGTGTATGAGTGGGATTCTGTGGGATTATTCGGTGTTTACTGTATGCTTGTGTAGTAATTTCGCACTTTTGGTATCTTTTTATGTGCACCAGGGTGGTGATCTCATCAAATGGGATAAAGCAAAGATCAGTTATTATGTTGGAATTGATATATCAGATGGCTCGGTAAAGTTTCTATTCCTTGTACTTCCCTTCCACTGGCAATTGTATGGTTCATGTGTATCACATTCTATAGCATCATAATGAATTTACTCACCTATTTGTATTCCATGGTGGATAATTATTAAATGAAGTTCAGCTTATGGTCTATTTTTTATTTGTGAGGTTTTCTGTTATTAGATGTTAGAATTTTATATTCTGCATATCTACTTTCTATCCCAAATTTAAGTTTTAATTTAATATTCACTTCTCGCATATACCCTGAATCATGGATTAGTACTATGTTTTAAGGTATCTGAATTTGTCCTTCCCAAATTTTCCCTTTTGGCCTTTCCTTTTCCAAATACAAGTTTCAATCTGATATATTGGTTGAGGATACCCTAGCAAGTGGATTAGTGATAGTTTCTTTTAATGGCTGTTAGAATTTGATTTTTTGCAAAATTATATATTTCTTTTTTGAAATTCAAATTTTAACTTGATATTTAATTCTTGAAGATGCCCTAGAATGTGAAGAAGGTTAACATTCAAGTTGTTTATGTTGCATAAATATTACATATAATCCTTTTATTCATGTGATCATCATGCCCTCATGTGTCTACCGAAAAATAATGTTGGGAGCTAAATATTTAGGATTTTTTATTGATTGCATTTTCTTATACATGAACATAGGAAATCTCTACATGCTTGATACATGAAGTACAATAATGAGATATGACACCTTCACATATTTTTGTCGTAAACGACAAACTATAGATTATAGCCATAAACATTTCTCCTAATGTCCTTATCCTGATGACAGAATACGCACAATCATTATCGAAACCTTGAAAGGGCTGCAAATATCTTCTGAACTAATAAACATGGCTTGTGCTTTTGTGTGGCTGAAATGTAATTGTAAAGTTTCAGTTAAACCAAGATATGCTTTTTGTAAGAATTTTCCTCTCACCTAGATGTCCATGCATGGGTTGCATAATGAGCGATCATTTTGATTCACTTCAGTTATACTCTAATCTCATTTAAAAATCTATTTCAGTCTTAAGATTGGCAGCATGCTTACATTTTTGTCAGATAATTAATTCTGTAAGGATGCAAATTGAAATGATATTGATTCTTTCCTATTAGAATTATAATATTCAGTCGTGGAATTTTTCTGAATTATCAGCTTATTCAATATTAACGAGGACTTTGCCAACTGTGACAACAGATAGAAGACTGTCGAACTCGATATAATGGTGATGCCGACCATCATCAGCGTCGAAAAAAGTTCTCGTTTCCTGCAAGACTCCTGTGTGGAGATTGCTTTGAGGTAATTAGTGTTACATTAGCTGTGACAGACATAAACATGAAATGCTTTATCAACAATCTGATGCATACAACATAAACATGAAATGCTTTATCAACAATCTGATGCAGACAAATGGATCCAACTTGTGTTTAAGTATCTGAAATTAGCCTCGTCTTGTTACTTACTTTAGGCACTGGTGGAAGTAATTTCTATCTTTCCCTGATGGATTTTAGGTTCGCCTGGATAGGGCTTTGATAGATGATGCTCCATTTGATGTTTGTAGCTGCCAGGTGAGTCTTGCATTCCTATTAAAGTAATGTTCCCTGTTTTAGTATTACTTAATTGTGTGGCGTTGGGGCCCTCAAACCAAAGTCATCACCATTCAAAATTGACAAAACAGAAGTATTTTCTTTATCATCTTTTTGAAAGCTACACAAAAGAAGATTATCAATGAGCTATTGACGTTCTCTCTTCACCAATCTCTCTCTCCCCCCTCTCTCTCTCTCTCTCTCTCTCTCTCTCTCTCTCTCTCTCTCTCTCTCTCTCTCTCTCTCTCTCCCCGTGTGTGTTAAAACTGACAGATGCAAAATATTCTCTATAATGACTTCAATTTATTGTTGCATGGTTTGATTGTACAAGCACACTCAATTTTGTCGTCCTTATCAGATTGGGAATACAGCATCATAACCTTTTCAAAAAAAATTTATATGTCACTCTTGTTGCTTTACAATTCAAATTTCCATAGTGGTCTTGTTCTATATTCAGTTGAAGTAAACTTACCTTTATGTTTTCGATTCTTCAATGACATGTCTATCAGATTATATCCTTTTTCAAACTCCATTGTCAATATCATGGATGAGAAATTAAAAAGAAAAATGCAGGTGAAAAAGAGATGTTCATGTTAACTACGTTGAAAGTTCTAAAATCATAGTTTTATGTAAACATTGCAAGCGGGTTAACAATTATGTAGGTTTTTTAAGTTCTGATATTAACTGTCAAAACCTAAAATTTTCCAGTTTGCACTGCATTATTCATGGTCTACTGAGGCACGTGCAAGGAGGGCCTTGGCCAATATATCAGCTTTACTTCGACCAGGAGGAGTCTTTATTGGAACTATGCCAGATTCCAATGTTATCATCAAAAAGCTAAGAGAAGGTTTTTTTTGGGCTTTTTAAATATCTGATCATGGAGATCACTGGAAATTGTAAATGTACCCTCTCGAAGCTATGCTTCTCTCCATGTTGTTTGTTACTAAATGTAAATGGAAACTGTTGTCCACTGTATATGGCACCTTAGGCATTCTTTAGATATGTATACATAGACACACAGATGTACTTATATGCAGCACGCACTGACAACCACATATATGTATATGTGATCAGATTCACATACATTTATTACTTTGTTGAACTCAGTGGAGCAAGATTTATATGCTTCTAATGATGATATTTTTAAATACTCCTTTTCTTCACCATCACTTTCCAGTCTCTTTGGTTACTGATTCCCTCGTGACTATTCTAGTAAAGGATGCAAAGAGAGAAATACTGAAGAAATAGAAGAATATTCCACAGATATAATGACTTTTTATTTCCTTCTTGATTATTGCTAACTGCCTAGTGGTAGTGACTTGATCATTATGGCAAATAAACATTAAGTTTTTAACTTCTTGTTTTATTGTCTTTGAGTTGCATCGACTAGATGGATACCAACCTTGAATTATCTGTGATTTCATTTTTGGGACCTCATTGCATTTTGTTAGATACAAAATCTTTTCCTTGTTACTTATGATTTTGATGATTCAGTTTTTTGTTTTTTTGTTTTTTTTGTTTTTTTAACTATGAATCCTCTGAATTTAATACCATTTTACTGATTATTATTCACTTGATGGAATATGCAGCTGAGGGGTTGGCATTTGGTAATAGTGTGTACAGGGTAAGGTTTGGTGAGGAATTTGCAGAGAAGGTAAATTTCATTATTGATATCAAAAAAATGCCAGTAAAACATCTTTTCTTGTCGGTAAAATTTTCTCCATTTTGGCTTACTCCAGAAATTTAAGTATTCAAGTCCTTTCGGCATCCAGTACAGTTTCCACCTAGAGGTTTGACCTTTCTACTGTTTTTATCTTTTTGGTTAGTTTAATCTGGGATTTCACCTTAACCTTGTTCATTTATTTTGACACATGAAATTTATTATAGATCTGCAATTTCACACTTCCAAAATTTTCCAAAATTTGCAATTGTAGGATGCTGTTGATTGTCCTGAATGGATTGTGCCTTTTCCTGTCTTCAAATTATTAGCAGAAGAGGTATTAAAATTCTGCTTCTTGATTAAGTTTCTGAATTCATATGTACATCAAGTAATTCTTTCAATGTCTCTTTGAAACTGTCTTTCCTGTCATCCTTGAATGATCATTGGCTTCGATTATTCTTGGAAGGATTAGAATACTGCACTCACTGTAAGCTAGTTCAAAATTGTATGAAATGAAATAGATCAATCCTGATGTCAACAATGTGAATTGAACATGGATTTGACCAGTGGTTATAAATACGTATTGTATAAATGCCTGTTTATGAATCAGAAGTGCCTGTGAAATCTTATTATCAGCTGCATTTCAAACTTTTTACAGCTTGCTTATGTTCACTGTGCAGTGTGATTTGGAGCTGGTTTTTGTAAAAAACTTCCATTTGTTCGTGGATGAATATTTGAAGAAACCAGAATTTGTTGAGCTCATGCGGAGGCTTGGTGCACTGGGTGATAACCAAGACCAGAGTACGTCCTAGATGTAACTTTATATGAGTCGCCAATCATCTTATTTAATAAGCACTTGATCAATTCCTTTGAAATTTCGCTTGTATACGTTCAGGTACTCTTTCACCAGATGAATGGGAGGTGGCCTACTTATATTTGACCTTCGTTTTGAGGAAGGTGAAAATCCGTACTTATCAAAATAGGTCCATTAATATTTTGCCCAACTAAAATACAAATATTGGTTCTTTTTACATGTGCGGTTCTTGTTCTAAAAGACTTCATAGAATAAATGACTTTTTCTTGTATTGTGTTCTACATATTCGATTTTTCTATCTTGGGCATACTGCTTTAACCATTACTGGTATTTTCGGGGAACAGTTTAAGGCATTGTGCACTGTGGGACGCTGTTCTTAGACGGTAGTAAACTAGAAATGTTACCATTTATCTTTTCTTGCAGCGAGGGAAACCAGATCAACCAAGAACGAACAATAGAAGAGACAGAGGAAAGATGCAGTTGTCGAAGGAAGACATTGTATTCATAAGAAATGATGTTTAAACGCTTAGTTTCAAGAACGTCCAAATGGGACAAACAGCACAAAATTTCAGTGTTGTGAATGGCAAGCTCCGTCCTTGCATTTAACTCATCTCCTTGCCACAAATAATCTCGAGTTGCTTATCAGTTTTGTGGAGAGCAGAATAAGTTGGTATCTCTGCATGCTTATGGCAGTGTAATTCCCCCTTGCTGCTTGATCTTTGTTGTTAGGTAGTATTGTTGATTAGTTATATAAATTAACAATACAAATAAAATAATCTATAACCCTTCGTTCCTTCTTGAAACGGATTTCTACTGATTTGTCTGTTCTTTTGTGAAAGTGTTCAAATGAATATAATGATAGGTGTACATAAGAATTTTACAGAATAATTACAGAAGACTCACAATGTCGTGGGGCCCTGTATGAATAAATAATGTAAAAAAATTACCCCTCCACCCAAATGTGAGGTGTCGCTAGGGGTTCACGCTTGTATACCAATGACAGCTCGTTCAAATGATTCAAAAAGAGTGTTCAAAAGATTGAATCAAAGTTACATCTTTGGCTTGCACCAAATTAAATGGTTATTTACTTCTCATGACTAGTTCATTTTTTGTCTTATTTGTGTGAAATCTTTATTTTATTTCATTTTAAATAAAAACTTAAAACCCATAAAAATAGGGCCAAAAGTTAAAATCAAGTTTTACGAAATGGATATTATTTTTGTAATATCGAGTGTCTATTTGTAGACATTAAAAATCATAGTTTAATTTAAGTTAAAGTAAACAATTGATTATAATAATACATTTTATAGAGTTCACAATTTTCCAACAATGCAGTTCATCAATTTTTATCAATATCTATTAAAAATTATATTTTAATCTCTATCAAATAGAACTGAATTTGGAATGGCTAAAGTACCAATTATCTTTATAATAAAAATAGTCCGAATAAAGATAGTTAAATATAGGTCGAAACATGGATTTAAGTAAATCTAAAGAAAATATAATTAGTCTAATTATATTAAAATAAATCTCCACTTATCTATAAATTTTACTTATTTTTAGCAAAATATAAACATTGAGCAAGGACAATATACTGTCCAATCAGCAACATATGTCGGTGTAAGAAAGCATGTGCGGGCCCCATTCTACATATATATATGGGGCTCAGATAAAAGACAATTAGGTTCTGTTTAATTACAAAAGTGGAAAATGCAAACCAATTATGGCCCCGTTTGATAGGAATTTTTTGTCCCAAAAAATTAATTTTTTGACCGTTATTTTACTATTCAAGCCATAATTTTTGACTTCTTCTCTCACATGTGAACCCCACTTTTCTTCTAACGGTCAAAAAATCAATTCTCAAAATCCCTACCAAACGGGCCCTATATATAAGTTGGAGAAGAAAAAATCACCAAAATCATATGAATTCGATTTCTACTCGATTGGCCAAAAACATGCATTAAGCATTTGTACCTTGGAATTTGAACTTCATTTTCACTTTTGTATCAAATAGTCAAAGTAGAAAACGAATTTTTCGAATGTGACATTTTTCATGGAATTTAATACTATAAAAGGATCCTTATATTCAAATATGTGCGAAAAATGATTAAGATATGAGAAGAGAGATTAAAGAGATGCTTTTCTTAGCAAGTTATCTAATCTAAAAAGTTAGCATTACCAATTATCTAATTACAAGATTTGATTCTAAAGTTATATGCTTAAATTAACAAAAAAGGATTAGCAACTAATCTCCACCTTTATTTTTAAGCTGCATATGCCCTTTCTTCTCTGCCATTTTTATTCAATGCACCTGCACCTGCACCTGCACCTGCATCGGTAATGCCAAAAAATAAAACAAAATTATTTATACCTCAATTATAATTTACATGCAAGATAAAACAATAAAAATTCCAATTACAGGTTATTTTTAATTAATTTCAAATTGAGTATATGAAACTCTTTATTTCTTCATCCAAAACAAGTGAAATGTCGAAAGAATACTAGAGAAAGGATATAATGATTTTGATTCTAATTTCTTTCGTATTATTAATATTTAACATGGTTACATCGAATAAATATAAAATATTAATCAACATAAAGGATTTGACTTATTCTTCTAATAAGATTGACCTTTCGAAATATAACTTCAAATCTTACTCTATGTTTGGCGGAGGTTAAAATTAGATTTCTAGCGTATCTTGAAAAAAGGTAATGAAATATGTGGTTAAAAAGTTATGGATGCTATAAATTATATATAGTTAAAATTAATTGTTAAATTTGACTTTGATAAAATTTAGATTAAAATTTCCATCAAATATAGGGCTTAATATGATAATTACTTTAAATTCAAACGAGCAATTTTATTTGATTAAACTCATGTTTATTGATTTTAACTGATTCCACAACTTTTTAACCACATATTCCATCGACGTTTGTCAAAATTTACTGAATTTAATTTTAGTCTAAATCAAACAAGGGTTAAAACTCAAATGAGCGTACGAACTTCAAAATTGATTCGTTCAAATGAGTAATCATCTCGCTGGAAATATTAACAGACATTTCTTTGGTTGAAAATATTTAACATGATTTTGGCTACTCCATGCAACTAAAACCCTTGTAATCAGTCAAAACCAGTTTCAAAATTTTACAACAAACTGGGAGATCTTGCTGTGAAAGGTTGATGAAGAACAAGGAAAATCCAGCAACAAGATCCACTAAAATGGAAGGTATTCCAACAGATCTTTCATATCAAAACAATGAAATCCACTTACTCTTGGCCTTACAATCCGGTGGATCTTCAAACAACGACAGCGAAAGCTGTTTATGAGCAACACCAATATCGAACAGAATTAGGCCGGACTTCGGATCATCGACAACAATGTCCTTAACCGGAAGCCATAAAAAGAGCTCTTCCTGCGAGAATCCCTCGACTCCGGTGAGACTGCCGTAAGTAAAATTCGCCCGAACAACACTGTCATAAAACGCCATCGTATCAAACTTGGTCATGCAAGGACCATCCAGAAACACTTCGAGAAGCCCAGATTCAGACAGTTTGTAGGATCTCACATCCTTCGGGAGAAGGCCGGCAGGTAACCCTCTGGACTGGAGGAGCTCATAAATGGAGGAGGAGTGAGAAAGTGGTAGAGAGAGAAAGAGTACGAGGAAGAGATTTTGAATGAACTCCATAAATGACAATGTGTGTGAAGAAGAACAAATATGGATTGATTTGATTTGTGGGGTTTTTAAGGTTGGGTTAAGGCCGGCAGGTAACCCTATGGGAGTCGTATTAATGTTTTTACTAATTTGCCCTTGTTATTGTTCGAGCCGTAAGGTCATCCCTAAAACCATCTCAATCTCCGTTAAATTGTCAAAGTGAGATAGTTTTATTTCACTCGACAATATAAGGTAAATTCGACATATTGTGCATTAATAGTACAAGGTTGAAGATTGAATTGCTCCTTTTAAAATTAAGAGCACTCACATGTTTTTTTCCCTTTGGATTTGATTAAGATAAATACATTTAGCCGATCAATTAATTCGAACGAAAGCGGTTGAAAGAAGTCCCAAAAAAGTTGAAACTCGTAAAATATAACAATTCAAGTAGTATTTTCTATATAAAATTAGGTTAGGTAACAATCAAATATATACACCTATTTTTGTATTAGTTAGTTAAACAAAAGCCAACTAAAGGGTTTGAACAATTCGTATAATTATTTATAGATTGATGTACATAGGAAGAGAGATAAAGGAAAGAAAATCAGTTGAATATTAATATAATGTCATGTCTTTAATTTGTACATCAATCTGTAAATAATTACGTACATGTACCATATCCCATAACTAGTTAATTGTATTAAGCTAATTTTGATACGAAAAGGGAGTTCTCAAAATCGACCATTGATTTCGGGCACTTCTAATAGTATTAGTCTTACACATACTCGTGCAGTTCTATCAATTAAAGAGACCAATCATACTTATTTCTCTTATTTATTTCTTTGAAGATATTTGGTAATTCAGACGTGAATATGGTTAAAACATCAATGGTATTTCAGTCAAATCGAATTTCCAATAATAAATTGTAACCGATGGACTCAATAAATCAGAATTTGGACCAATAGGAAAAGTGCAAAAATCTTGAACACTAGGAGGGTATAAACGTCATTTGAAGAATATTTCAAGTACTTTATTGACTCTAGGGGTAGGGCTGCAATTACATACAAATTGATGGCACGAAAAAAAATAATAAATAAATAAATTTGAGGGCATGGAAGTTGGGTATCTATCATCATCCTTACTGCCACCGTGGATTGGAGACAACTAATTGCACTATTGCTCCCAAATTATTCGTCCAATTCTAATTTGGTTTTTGAACCTTTTCAAAATAACAAGTTCATCACAACATTTAATTATATCTTTACAATCAACCCTCAACTATGGAAACTCTTCAAATCTTCGAAAGTTGTCATGTGTCCCTCCCATATTTAACTTTACAAAATTGAATTTTATTTTTCGATTTGGGTTGATTCTTAAAAAAAATTTACGTGGCCTATATTTTTCACGAAATTAATTGTTACCTTTCTTACTCTTTCTCAAGTCTCAATACCGTCTCTCTTATTTCTTTATTTCATAAACCTTTTTCCTTCACATTTCTCTCCTCTTTCAAGAAAAAGAGAGCAAAAAAAGGAAGAGAGAACAATTTGTTCTCCTCCTCCTTAAATCGTAACATCACCGGGTGGTCGAGATGACATTGACACATCAACAGTGACACGCCGTCTCATCTCCTATTTTGGCAAAGGCTTCTCATCATCGCATACCATGCACGAAAGCTCATACGAAAATGCCACAGTCAACTTATTAGGGGAGGAACAAAAGATAGACCCACCAGTGCTGGTGGAGCTCTTGTCGTGTCAGGGTTGTGACACCTCCCCTGAGGCGGGGCTGCCTATTCACGGCTGGAAAGGGGTGACTTCAACCTAAAGGTTCTGGCTTTGAATTTAGACAAAAGGCCTACGTTGAGGCTTTGAATATTGGACTCCATTTTCACGCCCCAATTGAAAATGACCATTGACCACGACGCACCCCCAAGTCCCCGCTTCTGCTTTCTAGCTCAGCTACATGAATAGCATACAGTTTCAGTCACTTCAATAGGTTAATCTCTTTTGGAATAGAACCTCTCAAGTTCGTGCACTGAACAAGCAACATTCAAAAACCGTACAAAAGTCGCTGCAAGTCACATTCACGGGGGCTCTAAGGACAAAGGTGGATGAAGAAGCAAATGTTATGGTTGCTTTATATGCATCCCGTCTAGTGAAAACCGTTCCAATGGAGCCAACAAAGATCAAGTCACGACCAATGATTGTCTACACGAGGATCGAAAAGCTGTGCTCTTCTAAAGATATTTCTGCCAAGAGACCTGCTTCTAGAACTGTCGATTTCCCTTTGTGGGAAGGCTTCAATAGTACCAAATGTGGCGCTGCAATCCCTTTAGAGACTGCTGCTCATCAAATTTTGAGTTCCCAAAACTTTAAATTGCCAGATAATCCAACTTTAAGGCATGTTCCTAAATATTTCAAGTTTTTCAAGTCTATTTATATGTTTGGCAACAACTTAAAGATATCTTTTATGAATCATTTAACAACAACGTAAATAATATAATTAGTACTTAAAAAGCAGTAGAAATCATATCTTCATTCGTTAACAGTAAAAACAGGAAGTAATTTTTAAGCACACCAAACCTATATAATCGTAAAAGTGGAGGCATATCAACACTACTAATTCATTGTGAAATAACCACCCAAATTAACAATTTTTTTTTTTTTAAAAGAACATTCACTGGTCCACCTGCACCGACACAAGCAGGAACCGAGGATCAATTTAGTGTTTCTCAAAACCCACAAATGTTAAAAGAGCCCATGTCAATATCCGATAAGCATGAACAAGGTTGATACAGTTTTCCAGGAAAAGATAGCGTGCGCTGAATTTCAAGGTGAGAAACACAAGTGAGAACGTCAATACCACCTATTAACTCCTACCTTATATTATACTGTACCACGAACAAACAAGTGATTTTCAAGTGACATGCAGCTAAATTGAAACGGATCAAGTAAAATGAAGAGAATTTTCACATCCCAAGTAGGCTCTAGATTAAATCTGGTCGACAGAACACAGGAGGGCAAGCTAATAAATTCCAGAAAATTTCTTGATCCAGCGGCTGTATCCTAGATTCAACTATCAATTCTCTCGAAAAAGTACAAGTATCCCATGTCAATTGGTGGGTTTTTCGAAGCCCCAACTTTGTCATCATTGAAAATCACCCACCTTCCATCTTTGCGGATATGAGCAACATAATGACCACAGTGGGTAGATGTACCAATGTGGCTCACTAATCCAATAAGCCTGTATCCTGTGCAAGCAATAAGAAAGTTTGTGAGTACAAAATACCAGAAGCACATGCTATCAGCTCCCGTGAATTCCATGAGTATCATCACAAAAAGAGGAAAAATGAGATAGATCTAAGGTTCCGTTTAATTGCAAGAATGAAATTTGGATGGAAAGAAAACGAATTTTAAGGAATTGAATTGCCTAAAACTTGTTTCACTAGGAAATGTCAATTAAATGTGTTCAATTGGTATAATTTTTCACTTGAAAAATGTTGAAATTTTAGATCTTTTAGTTTTCATTTGGCTTTATTTTTTATGAAAATTGTCAATTAAAGGAATAAAATTTGTTTCCATTGCCCTAAAAATAAAAATAAAAATAAAAAGAAAGAAAAGAAAAAAGAATAAAAAAATGGAAAACCCATTTCCCACCAAAACCAAAGGAATTTATTTTCCTTTAAAAGCTAGAAAATGGATCACGTGGGGGGTAGGGCAGAAAAGCAATTCCATGGAAAATTTTGGTCATCAAACAACACATTTGGGGCGGAAAATGGAGATATTAAACAGGCCCTAAGCGTATGTTTGATTGACTTTATCTTACATGGAAAATGTCATTTTTTCCACCCAAAATCCTACTTTCGGGTGTTTGATTGTCAATTTTTTTATGGAAAATATTTCTAACTTTTGGTCACCTGACCATAATTTTCCCAAAAAAAAAAATAATAATAAAATATATATATAATAGGGAGAGTGATTTTTGTTTTTCAGGTAATTTACTCTTTCTCCTTCTCATCTATCTCCTCTCTATCATATGCCCACCAATAAAAAATGGACAAGTATAATATTTTCTAAGTTAAAATCTAAATCAATCAAATACTTCCAAACAATTAAGTTCTAGGAAATTGAATTGGTTATAATTTATTTTCTTTCTATGCAAATGCCACGCTCGCAATCAAACATAACCAAATGTCTTTTCACATTAGAAAAAAACTAGCAATAATAAAGATAACAACAATAATGAAATTTTGATTCAGAAATAAATGCAGATTATTTTTTTTCCTTCTATAATTATGTCAAACTACAAACATTTCTAGATTTGCTGAACCACGTTAAGGTGTTTGAGCCCCATTTTTATGAAAAAAATGCATTTTAGAATAATGTATTGATGGAAATGTGTGGTTGAAAAATAAGAAAAAGTTTTTTGATTTATGTGTAATATTATTTTAATGAATAATGTGTGGATGAAAAGAAGAGAGAAAAAAATACATTTTGGGAAGAATAGGAATCAAACAATGCCTAAATTTTTGTAGTACTTAGAGACTTGTTAAAATTACTTAACTAAAAAATATGTCAAGTATCTAGTTTTGATAAAATGTAACACGAGCACAATCTTTAAAGAAGAGGAGCAGCACAGGTAATATAATAATATCAGGTGCAATAGCGCATTGCAGATCCACAGGAAAGGGTATGAGAAACTTACTCCCATCTCCATCGGGCAGAACTGCATCAACCACAGTAGTACTACTACTCTGACTAGCGTCCATATGAGATGTACCAGTAGGCGGATTAAATATCCATTCAGTAGCTTTTTCAATATCACCATCCTGTAAGAATTCAATGTAATGATCTGAGGTACTCCAGCATTTCAGAAACAAATGAACCTATCTCCTTTTCTCATGTAGTAATATATGGAAAAAGCTCCAGCCACAAGAATTTTACCGAAGCCAGAAGCGCCTTTCGAGCAAGTTCTTCCTCAAAACCAAATGACACCAAAGTATCAACTTTTGTCGGGTCAATATCTGAATGCTGGGGAGCACTCTTAGCTTCTTTTGTGATGGGATCATCA